TCAATTATGGTTTATCCATAGCCATTAACATACTAAAAAGATTTAATCATATTAAAACATTAATTACTAAAAGCACAACTATGCTAAGATCCAACTTATGAACACCAAAAAACAATTTTAACTCGGCACAGAAAGAGAAAACTGTATTTACTTAATAGTGGTAAGTTCTGGGCATTGGAAATAATGGGTGCTCTTCTTTTCCTTTTGTTTTATGAGCATATTTGAATAATAAAAAAGTTTAAAATTTAGTGTACCCATAATTATGCAGATATCACATTGTTACGTGTATCACGCATGTTTTAGTAGCTAGATTAGAGAGTATTACCTTTGTCTTCAACCTTATAAATATAACTTGTGCCTCATCCAATAACCAAGTAAGTTCACCCTTTTGTACTTGGCTTTCCTCATACGTTAAATGAAAATGATAATATCTACTTTGATTTCACTCACAGGAAGATTGTGTTACTGTTTGTAATACACTGTAAGCTACATAGAAAATGGTGCTAATACTATATTATTTACATTCAACTATGATTATCGTTGCTTTTTTTTTTTTTTTTTTGCTTAAACCCCTTTACTGAGTATGACCGACATACAAAAAGCTGTAGATATGGATTGTGTACAACAAGATGAGTTTGCAGATAAGCCTACACCCGTGAAACCATCGCTACAGTCTTTGCCATAAACATACCCGTTAGCTTTAAAGGTTTCTTGCTGCCACTTTATTATTATTTTCCTGTGATAAAGACACTTAAGGTCTACCCTCTTAGCAAAACTGAAGTACACAATAGAGTACTGCTCGCTCCGGCACTTGCTGTGGCGCAGACTCCAGGACTGTGTCTTGCTAACTGAAACCCTGTGCCTTTGACCGATGCCTCTGGCTTCCCTCTCCCCAGCCCCTGGCAGCCACCATTCCACGTGCTGCTTCTCTGAGTCTAACTAGATTCCTCACATAAGTGGTATCAGATAGTATTTTTCCTTCGGTGCTTACACCCACTTCATTCAGCACAATGCCCTCCAGGTGCTGCATGTTGTTACAAATGGCAGGATTTCCTTTTTTTTTAGTTGCTTTCAATGTAAATGCAATGAAAATATTAGCTCAATACCTTAAAAAAAGAATTTTTTTAATTAGCTAAGGAAAATTAAAAAAAGAAAATTTGCTCCCAAAATAGATGGTAAGAGAAGAGAAAATAGTCCGCAAGTGTTTACTAACTGCCTACTGTGTGCCAGGCTGGGGCTGGGGTGGGGACCGTGAGAATGAATCACAGTCTCTGTGCTCGGGCCCTTCACCATGGAGATGGCACATGTCCACGCACAGGCAGGAGCACAGGCCAGGCTCCCGAGAGCCTCTACCAAGGCCGTCAAGAACAGGCAAGTCTGACCACCAAGGCCAGGGAGCCAGAAATGGGAGCTCAGCCTCACCACGGAGTGACGGTGGGACAGTATCAGGGTGGCCTGCAGTAGTTTTACAGCCTACAATGAAATTAGGGGACAAACTGGTTGGGGATGCCCCATTCTTGAGGGGTTCCCCTGGTAAGCATAACGGGGAATCCCCCTGAATATAATGTAACCCCAACAGTAAATATAGGGGCCAGAGGGGAGAACAGATCCCTGCTTGCTAGTAGGAGACTGGAAGGGGTGGGGGAATTCTTAAAAACTCCATTTACAGAATAGGAGATCCCCTTCTGGTACTCAAAGTTCCCTCACACGGGGTACTCTTGAGACAGCTGTGGTTACTAGCCTTTTGAACTTTGTTTCTGAGTCCATCTCCTTTCAGGGTTTAGGGGAAGACATGTGAATATATATTTATATGTCGAGAATGATAGAAGTATAAATACACACACACACCACACAAGCACACTGTTTAGCTGTTAGGAGTTCAGTGGTCCCAGAATTTAAGTCATTTATTTGTACCACTGGAATCTCATTGTTGTTCACTTAAATATAATTCCAGACAGAAGACAATGTAAGGTAAGATATGTGTGAGAGAAAAATTCACTCCTGACACAAATGCCATTATGGATTCCAACATTTTGGGTGAGTCTGGCGTCAGCAGAAAACAAAAAATAATAATAATACTAGCATAAACTCATTTAGTGCCTATTATGTACTAGACATAGAAGATGAAAAAAAGCAAAGATATGGATTTAACATTTTTGGAATGAAATTAAAATTCTCAGGTCCATTTTCATTTCCCATCACCTTAACCCTAAATAAGCAATTAACTTCAGGAACTCTTCTTTTTATGGGGGAGGCAGTGCTGGTTAAAACACAATAAACAATGCATTCATTTGCAAAGTGCCTGGAATTTTAAAAATGCATTAAGGACCAAGCACAGTATTATTATTACACTAGAGGCCTGATGCACGAAATTCGTGCAAGGGGCTCGGCCCTCGCAGCCCCAGCTTCGCCCGGAAGGACTCGGGTCTAATTAGCATATTACGCTTTTATTGTTATAGATTCTCCCATATGTTCCATGGAAGCACATACTAACTGCATTCTGTCAGGCGGAATTCTCTCATTTCTCCAAGGTACAAATTAGGTCAATGCCAGAGATTCTACTGCCCTAAATGTCCCAACTACTAACATAAAACAGGACAAATATTTTTTTTAAACCCACAAACTGCACCAATCTGACCTATATTGGAATTTCAAGCTGGTGATCACTGGTGGCCAGGTGACAATATGAACAGGTGACAACATGATCATTAAGGAAAAATAACCCAAAGCCAAAATCTTTTTGTGACAGGTTGGTAGCATCATTCTTTACATTAAAATTACATTTTGTATATTATATAGATACTAAAATTTCAGTGAATGAAGTGGAAGTTGCTTTGAGTAAATCTATACAATCAATAGTAGTCTGGCTATGCCTGCATGTGTAGCTTGTTTATAAACATTAATATAAGTGGCATTTTTAATACCCATATCCTCGCGAAAATCTGTTTTCTAAAGTTAATCTCAAAAACATACCATATTCCATATTCTACATTATATATTCAAAGTTTTACATACTGTTATTTTAAAAATAGAAACTTAACAGAATCATAAAACTAGAGGGCCTAAATACTGTAACACATGCTCTTTATAGAACATATGTAACTTTCCATTAATATATAAAATAGAAGATTAAAACCTCTAACAGCCCAGCTGGCATGGCTCAGTGGTTGAGCATCGACCCATGAACCAGAGGTCACGGTTGGATTCCTGGTCAGGGCATATGCTGGGCTTGCGGGCTCGATCCCAGTGTGGGGCTTGCAGGAGGCAGTCGATCACTGATTCTCTTCCATCATTGACGTTTCTATCTCTTTCTCCCTCTCCCTTCCTCTCTGAAATCAATAAAAATGTATTAAAAACAAATAAAACCTCTAACACTAGGTAAACCATAACTGCAAAGAGCCTATATGTATGTCTCCTTTTTTCTATGCACATCCTAACACACACATATTAATGTAACAATGTAAATCAATACCCATTTTCCACCCAATAATTATCTTGAATATATTTTATATTCGTTTGTAATTAAACTTTTAATATATTTCTTAAGTGTAAAAAGCCCCTGTTCATAGTTTGAGAACATCATTTTACCTGAAAGAGGTTTGAATAAAAGTAATTTGAGATTTACTTCACATTTAAAACTAGTAAAACGAGTCTAAACACTTTAGAATTTGCTAAATTTAGCATATTAACAATTTAAATAAGTCAGTATGAGGGCTCTAAGCTGGAAAACCTTTTCCTGAATAACTCGATTGTGAGTTTCATTTCCAGCTCCCATCCAGTCTTCTGATCATTCTAAATTTCATAGGCAAGGCAAACAGTTCAAAAGCCAGTCTCAGAAATGGAGTCTGGTGTCTGAACAGACCGGGACGGGAGCCCCACACGACGTCCGCGCGAGCAGGCCCCGCCCCGCCGCCGGGGAAAACCCTCCTAATATTTATAACGTTATGACACCGCGTCACCCTCACAAGGTGGTTGCAGCAGTATAAACACCGCTGCAATTATCTGATTGGCTGCCGGTGATGTCACACCCATGTCAATACTTCCCAGCGAGCGCACGTGCTCGACCTTTTATTTAAATTTCCATTCCATCACGGCGAGGAGGCACTCGGGCGGTGCGTGTGCGGGGAAGCCGCTGTCGCCCGGGGCCGCGGGCCCGCCTGGCACCCGCGGGGCGTCGCGGCGGGAGGTGTCCGCGGCCGGAGCCTCCCCGCGCGACAGGCGGCGCCCGGCGGCCTTTGTCAAGCAGCCACACACACTCAGTCCGCGTCCTCGGGCGCCGCCGGCCCCGGCACACGCCGCCCGGGCGCCGCTCCCAGCCCCGGCCCAGCCCCGGCCCAGCCCCGGGGCGCGCGCGGCGAGGGAAGGAAAATGCGCGTCCCGGGCGCCGGTAGGTGCGTGCGGGCGGCGGGAGGCGGCCACCCCCGGACACTCCAGCTGCCCGTCCCCGCGGAGCCCGGCCGGCCGCACGCGCCCGCCCCGCCCGCGACCCCGGCCCCCGCCCCCGGCCCCGGCCCCCCGCCGGCCGCCGCCGCCCCCGCCCCCGCCCGCCCGGGTCCCGGCGCCCCCACCCCAGCGGCCCGGCCCCAAGCCCAGCCCCCTCCCCGCCCGGCCCCCACCCTTTCCCCTCCAGCGGTGGCTGCTACCCCGGTGCATTGTGGGCGCACGGTCCGTTGTTCATTTGCCATTCGACCTCCGCCGGGGCCTGGTCGGACGGAAGCGCTCCGCCCGCTGCATTGTCGGGCGTTATGTGGCGGCGCCCGGCGCCGTGACCAGCCTCGCGCCCCAGCGCCTCGCACCGGCGGCGGCAGGCTCGGCGCTCGGCGGGCGGCGCGGCGGCCGGAGGGCAGCGAGGGGCGCCCGCTCTCCGCCCAACTTCCCAGGCCGCACGCGCCCGCCGCGCCTCGCTCCCCGCCGCCCCTTCTCCGCGCGGGACGCGGCCCGGAGCGCGGCGGGGCGGGGGCGCAGGGCGCGCGGGCGGCCGGCGGCGGCCCCGGCCCCGGCGGCGAGCGCGGCCGGCGGGAGGGCGAGGCCGGGCCCCGCGAGAGCGAGAGCGCGGCGGGGAGCGCGGGACGCGGCCCGAGGCAGGCCGAGCCGGGCCGGGCGGCGGCGGCGCGCGCCATGTCGTTCAGCGAGATGAACCGCAGGACGCTGGCGTTCCGGGGCGGCGGGCTGCTCGCCGGCGGCGGCTCCGCGAACAATAACGCCGGCGGGGAGGCCTCGGCTTGGCCCCAGCCGCCCCCGCCGCGCCCGCCCCGGCCGCCCGCGCCGCCGCAGCCCAACGGGCGGGGGGCGGACGAGGAAGCGGACCCGGAGGGCCCGGAGCCCCAGGACCCCGAGGCCGCGGCCGCCGAGGAGGCGCCGGAGCCGCCGCTGCCTCCGGACGCGGGCGGCGGCGGCGCGGGGGGCCCGCTGCTCGCCGAGAGGAACCGTCGGACCCTGGCCTTCCGCGGCGGCGGCGGCGGCGGGGGTCTCGGCAACAATGGCAGCAGCCGCGGCCGGCCCGACCCCCCGGCGTGGCCCCCGAAGCATCCGTACGGGCGCGGGCCGGCGGCGGCGGAGCTGGAGCTGGACGCGCTGGAGGGGAAGGACTCGGTGCCGGACGGCGCGTCCCTGAGCGACAGCACCGAGGACGACGAGGAGGGGGCGAGCCTGGGCGACGGCAGCGGGGCGGAAGGCGGCGGCCGGCGGTCGGGCGGCGACGGCGGGGACGAGGCGGAGGGCGGCGCGGGGCCCGGCGACGGCGAGGCGGTCCCGCACCTCCCGCTCGCGCGGCCCAAGTCCCTGCTGCAGAAGCTGCAGAACTCCTTCCAGGCGGCCTGGCTGCGGGACTTCCCCTGGCTGCGCTACTGCCCGGACACCGGCCTCATGTCCTGCGGCTGGTGCCAGAAGACCCCCGCGGACGGCGGCGGGGACCTGCCCCCCGGGGGCCACGACGAGCTGTCGCGGGGGACCCGCAACTACAAGAAGACCCTGCTCCTGCGGCACCACGTCTCCACGGAGCACAAGCTCCACGAAGCCAACGCCCAGGTACGGTCGGGTCCCGCTCCTGCCCGCCCCGGTCCTGGCGGGGAAGGGCGGTCAGCTCCGCGCGCCGCTCTCCCCGGGGAGCATCTTTGCGGCGGGAGACGTGCGGGCCCCGTGGGCGTGGGAGGTGGGGACGCCCAGGAACAAGTTTTCAGAAGTGAATCGGGGAGTTGGGGAGGGCGGGGGAATGACAGTTTATTCATCGGAGCGCTGACTTTATTCCGTTGTTTTACGACTCATTTCTTTGCCCCATCGGATTGAATAAAAAAGAAAACTTAGGAAAGCAGGGTTGAAGGCTTTAACCCGGAAAGGTTGACTCTGCGGTCAAAAGTTTCATTGCCTGTGATTTTTGAAAAGCTCCTACGGTTCGGTGTTTTATAGCATGCTGCTGGAAGTGAAGCCCGGGAGCTCTTTGAAGAATGAATTAAACAATTTCCTTAACCTTTGATGCCACCCCTTTTAGGAAAACATCCAGCCGAGAAAACTCTCTACATCAAGTCAGAATAGTTTGAAATGTGAGACAGTATGTAAATGTAGTGGAAGCTGTTTGCTTAACACTCCTTTCTCTCGTACATAATTTTACTAAATTCATCTTCTTTGAACTTGTTGAACTTTGCTTTCGGTAAATTACTGTAGTTTTTGCCTGTTCTACCCAGATTTCTGTGTTGAGATTTTATATAATCCGCCTTTTTCAAAAGTTGATTTGACTGGTAGAGTACATATTTATCAAACTCCTTGAAAGCGAGTCCTTAGTTACAAAACAAGTAAGCTGCACACTGGTTCTTCCTTTTTTGTTTTAATATTTCCATTCTAGAGAGAGTAGTCCTGACCATTTTGATAATCCCCTTTCAGGCCTAGCCGAGGTGGTCAGTTCTCCTTTAGGACTTTTTGGACAACCTGTGCTGGCCGGTGGGATTCGCTCTTTTGTACTTGTAGCCAGTCATTGGCTTAGAAAGTCGACTTGCAGATAGTAGCCCCCCTGTTTATTGGAATGATCTTGGTGCTCAGAACACTTACACTGGAGTAATTAAGCGGCATCTAGTAACTCCATAGCCCAGAACCTTCTCAGGAGTTAAGGCTTGAACTTTAAAGTGTAGGTTTATTTTTCCCAGGGGACAGTGGCAATAGTTTTGCACAAATTTTAACTGCCTAAGCCCAGAAGGAAGGTTATTTAAAGATACAAGGCCCAGAAAGGTTAAGTAAATTGTCCTGAGCTTTAGAGCCCTTGGTGATAACTGAGACTAGAGCCTGTGAGGAATGTTGTAATGGGGAAAGAACGGGTTTTGGAGTAAATCTGGGTTCAGATCGCAGCTTTCTGCAATTACTAGCTTTGTGAGCTTGGGCCATGGAGTGAAATAGAACTAACATTTCCTTGTCTTCCATATGCCAAATACGCATTTACCTTAACTGCAAAATCATCATTTTGCTCTCATTTTACAGAAGAGGAGTCTGAGGCTTTAAAGGGTTAAGTATGTATTTCTGAAGTTAATTAGTAAAATGATGGAGATGGGAAACTTGTGAAAATGAAAGTAGACTTTTCTAAATAATGGTAGGTTGGTTATTCAGGAAAATTAAAATAGACAATTAGAAAGAACTTTGTTAATATACTCGTACAGTGAGCCAGTTGCTCCTCTTATCAGCATAGTCTCTCCCTGTGGGCAAAGCTGAATGGAAATGCAGATTATAATTAGCTGCTTAGTGAACGTGAAATCAGAGGAAGGGGAATTAGTTGGATCACCTTATGACAGACTTGGTGCGGTGCATGCATTCTCCCCCAGGCGTGCATCCGGACCTGGGAATACACTCCTGGGTAAAATCATTATTAAACTTGATCTCTGAATTATCCCTCCCTTCCCATCTCCTTTGCCCCCTTGAAGCTCTCTTTTTATAGATCTTTTATGCAGCCCATCTTCTTTCTCTTGAGACATCCTTTCATCAGACTGAGGGAATACAGTTTACTTTGAGGCTATGTATTGGTTCCCTTGGTTGGATTTTGGATGTTTCCACTCTGAATTGATCCTAATCATTTGTCTATGTTAATTCTAGCTAACCTTAGTTTGGGGTGTTAATTTGCTATTGTGTGTGCCTTGCAGGTACCACCTACATTTCTCCTTGTTAATAGGAGCGACAGGTTCAAGAATTGACTTATCCTGTGGACAGTTCGTTTTTTCCATTGTCCTGCAGTCTTTGATTACCAGTAGGAGGCAGTATAACACAGACTGTAAGAGCATTTTCGGGTTTAAGGTTAGGGGGACCTGAATCCTAATTCTCTTTATTGGCAAGCAAAACTTAGCTTCTCATGTATACAAAGTATATATGCCAGCACATAATCACTTAGAAAATGAGGACTATTTTTATCATCATTCTTTTCTTCACAGATAAGTGTAACAAGATGCTTTTTGTGGCCTGGTGTTTCTCATGTATTAGTGTTACCAGTTTTATCAGTTCGGAGGCCACTTTATCTCACGCAATCACACTGATTCTAGAGAGCAAACCAGTTCCCTTTTTCATACCTTCTGAGACCTTGGCCATCCAGTTCTTTGAACATTCTGAGATTTCTCATCACACATGCCATTTTTCTCAGCTCCATAAAAAAATGCCTTGCATCAACTTCCCCCTGTCTTAAAAACATTGAAATAAGAGTGTTAGGGTTAGTTCTTCAGGCAAGAATTCAGTTGGAGGTTGGGGTAGTTCACTTTATTACACTCTGTTTTTGTTGTTTTAAGGTGGCCTGTTTTTTGAGAGGAGTTTGGCCAAATCTTAGTATGTCACTAAGGGTTACTTTTCTTATTTTTTCTGTAGGTAAGAAAAGTTCTTTTTCATTAATTTCATGGTGGTGACTAAAACATTATAGCACCTTCTTAAAAAGTTCGATATTCTTGTTAACTGGATGTTAGTTGTGAAGGACTCCTCATGGAAGAGTCTGTAAATAAGTTTTCAGAATCTGTTCTGGGCCTTCAATTTCAAAGAGAAGCCTGTAATTCTTTATAAGCATATGTGAGTATAACATGTAAGGGACAGCATATAGTGAGGGAGGGAGAGGGAGAGAGAGAAACATCAATGATGAGAATCATCTATTGGCTGCCTCCTGCACGCCCCCTACTGGGGGTGGAGCCTGCAACCCCAGGAATGCGCCCTTACCTGGAACCTGTGACCTGGTTCATAGGTTGACCCTCAATCCCAGAGTCATACCGGCCAGTCTATACCTTGTATTTTGAGTAACAACTGACTATGTCTTTATAGAAGTTCAATAATTAGCTCATACAGGAATTGACCATTTGGCCTAGAGGACTTTAAAAAATTGTTTTAACAGTGATTATTCCACTGTCTGTTGGTTCAGGTCACTTTCTACCCACTTGTAAAATTTCATAGCTTACATCGCACATTGTGCCAACCCTTTCCAGTTTACTAACCCTGAGACAAGCACTCAGATGTATTGGTGTTATGCATTTACTTAGCCTTTCCAGAAAGTAAATGCTGAATTCAGATCTGGTCTGGTTGACATTATTAAGTGGACTATGTTGAGGTCATCACTAAAGCAAAGGTGAAGCAAAGCTACCAGCCTTCTTTGAATTTGGCAACAGTATGGCTCAAGGATTATTGTTTTTATCAATTTAGGAGGAAAATCTGAAAACCCTCTCACTAAGAAGAAGAAATATTAAAGATGAACCTATGCCCATTAAAGAACCACTTTGTAGAATATTATTTGTATAGGTCCTAACATTGTGTTTGAATCCATAATTGTTTTTTGAAAGGGGACTATAATTCTGGGCAGGGAAGTAAATGCTAATTGCTTGTTGGTTTTTAGCTAAATAGCATTTTCTTATTTATTGATTGACTACAGTTGAGTTCACTGCTTGCAGCTGAATTTATCTCTGTCACTCTCCCTCAGAAGGGTGGTGTAGATTTCCCTACAAATTGGTGGCATTATCTAGCTCCCCAAGCTAGAATGCTGAGGGCCCTGTGATTCTTTTCTCCCCAACCCCCACAATCCAGTTAATCACTCAAGTTCTGATTTTTACCTCCCAAATATTTTTCCAAACTCTGCCTCACCACCTCTCCCCCTATTAACATTATCCATCTTCCCTAGTTAAGGTCCTTGATTATTGCAAGTATGTTACACTGTCAACAGTGGCTTCCGCTGGTCAGTGTCTCCAGTCCTAGTCCCCAGTATTAATCCTCTACTTAGCTCTGGCCATCTCTTCCACTAATCCAATCAGATCACTCTGCTTCTAAAGCTCTGGCACCTATAGAAGAGATTCTTAATCTTGTCGGGGGTTCTAATCTCTCAATAATCTGATGAAAGCTGTAGAAACTTTTAAGTGTTAGTGAGTGCACATTTGCATATCTTGGGTTTTTTGATCATCCTGGAGTATTTTAAGAAATCTGGAATTGTAAGGATATTGTATCCATCTTGGTTCTTTTTCTTCCACTATCTACTTTGCTTAGAATGCACATCCTTCCATCCTTCTCTTTCATCTTCTAAGTCTCTGCTCAAATCTTTCCTCCAACCACCTCCGCCCCCCACCTCCTGAGAGAAATCTGGATTAGATGCACCTCCTGTGTGTCTTAACACCCTTGTCATATTCTTCAGTGCTTTAGGAGTCCTGATCACTAGTGATAACTTTTTGCCTTTAGTATAAGAATTTCTTATTTGGTTCAGCAAATAATATTGGCCATTTATTTTAGCTATATTTCACCCAAATCCTCAAGTAATACTCCCCTTGGAAAGCAACACGCACTGACTTGTAAACCATTTGTTTCCAAGGGCACATTTAATAGGTGCTGTGATCAGTAGTGGAAAAGAAGTTGCTAGTATTGCTTGTAAATCAGGGAACATCATTGTTATACAATAGTAATGAGAGAAAAAGTGGTTGAATAACTGCTTCATTTGTGTAGTTTGTGTTTAAAATAGAATGGGCAAATGTTTTGGTGTACAGGCTTTTGTCTGAGTTATTTTTTAAAATTAGGGTATTTGGTCTGATAATGGCGGGGAATTTCAGAACTTGGGACTAGCCCAGGAAATTGAGAACACAACGACCAGAGCCCGAAATGGTCACTCCAGTTAGACATAGCCATGTGCTTCCTGCAGCGTGGGTGCTGAATGTGCCAGCTTGGAAGCAGCTCCTGCTTTGCTAATGCTAATGCACTGCAGAGTAATTCTTAATTCCTGTCCTTACTTTATATTTCAAGAAGGACATGATGCATGTTACTCTGTCAGTGAAATCCTGCTCATTCTCATTCAGGTGTTCGATTTTTCTTATGTTCGCAATGGCGTGCACCAAGCTGCCACACTTTCCTCTCAGCACTTGGGATGTGAGCACTTCGTGGTGATTACTGACATGAGTGTACATGCAGCCCTCTGCACCTGCAGGTTCTGCATCCACCCGTAGGTCAAACATGTTGGGAAAAACAACATCGTTGTACTATGGAGTTAGGGCGGCTATGGTTGAGCTTGGACTGAAGATGCATGGACTTTTTTCTTGTCATTATTCCCTGAACAACACAGTATAATAACTATTTACACAGCATTTCCATTGTAGTGGGTATTATAAGTAATGTAGAGATTATTTAAAGTACACAGGAGGATATGCAAGTACTACCTATTTTATATGAGGAACTTGAGTTTAACATTTATGTTTTCCATTCGCTTATAGGAATCAGAAATACCTTCAGAAGAGGGATACTGTGACTTTAATAGTAGGCCAAATGAAAACTCTTATTGCTATCAGCTTCTTCGACAATTAAATGAGCAGAGAAAGAAAGGTATTCTTTGTGATGTCAGCATTGTGGTGAGCGGAAAAATCTTTAAAGCTCATAAGAACATCCTGGTTGCAGGCAGCCGTTTCTTTAAGACTTTATATTGCTTTTCCAACAAAGAAAGCCCTAACCAAAACAATACTACCCACTTAGATATTGCTGCAGTTCAAGGTTTCTCCGTCATCTTGGACTTCCTGTACTCTGGTAACCTGGTGCTCACAAGCCAAAATGCCATTGAAGTGATGACCGTGGCCAGCTATCTGCAGATGAGCGAAGTTGTCCAGACTTGCCGAAATTTCATTAAAGACGCCTTAAATATAAGCATTAAATCTGAAGCTCCGGAGTCTGTGGTTGTGGACTATAACAACAGAAAACCAGTTAGTAGAGATGGTCTGTCTTCATCGCGGGATCAAAAAATTGCCAGTTTTTGGGCAACACGGAATCTTACCAATTTGGCAAGTAGTGTAAAAACTGAAAATGATGGTTGCAGTGTCGATGAGGGCCAAATGGAGAACTACCAAATGAATGACAGTGGTTGGGCTCAGGATGGTTCACCTGAATTGGCTGAAAGTGAAGCCCCAAGTCAAACAAAAGTGTTTATTTGGAATAATATGGGCTCCCAGGGAATTCAAGAAACTGGCAACAAAACAAGGAGGAAAAACCAAACTGCAAAGAGATTTATTTATAATATACCACCTAATAATGAAACAAGTTTAGAAGATTGCTCCGTGATGCAGCCACCTGTTGCCTATCCAGAAGAAGATATGTCATTCATTAAGGAAGAACCGGGTAAATACTGTGCATACAAAGTTATTTCATTTTCATTATAATTCCATTTGGCTATAATGTTGAAGTATGCTTTTAAAAGTTTTTTTGTCATTATAAAATACATGTAACTAATAAGAAATTTGAATAAAAATAGAAGGGTGAAATTATTCAAGCACATAATTTTGGTATCTTAGTATTTTCTCTAGGCCTGTAGCTGTGGGTTATGCAAAGGCTGTGTTAATAATCAGGCATTTGCCTATATTGTTTGGCATGCAGACGTCACTCAATGTTTAGTAATTTGACTTTCCTGCTTTAGACTCTGCTCACCCTTTTTGCACCCAGTCCTGGAAACGATAAGTTCTTTAGTTGTAAGATGTAGTTTGTTATTTCAGAACATTTTTGATACCTAGTTAATATACTTTACTCTTTTAAAAATATATTTTTTATTGACTTCAGAGAGAGAGAGAAACATCAATGATGAGAGAGAAGCATTGATTGGCTGCCTCCTACATGCCCCTATTGGGATTGAGCCTGCAACCCAGGCCTGTGCCCTGACCAGAATTGAACCCTAACCTCCTGGTTCATGGGTTGGTGCTTAACCCCTGAGCCACATTGCCCAGGCAGCATCCTTTACTCTTTAATGTTTTCGGTAAATTAAACATTTACAAGTGCTTACAGATTTTTGCAAATGGTGATAGTGTTATTCTCATTTGTGTAGAGCTGCTGTTCTTACAATAAATATTACAGAAGCTGGAATATTTTAAATTTGTCCCACTCTTACCTCATTTTCCTTAGTTAAGAGAGGCCTCTGAAATTTTTCTTTGAGACTTTTCAGTATATCAAAGGAGTATGTACAAGAATCTTAGCATGTCATATTTGTTGTGTGGGTTTTCAAAAAAGTGGGGTGCAGGGCATCATTGAGGAGTGGAAATAGATTGGAACTTTGCCTTAACGTAACTTGACTGCCCCTAACTTTTTATTTGAAGCAGCAGCCCGGTGGGTTGGGGTTTTCTCTGCAGACCCCATACTTGTCCAGCCGCACGTGATGTAATGCTTGCTTTGCCCTGAAGCTCTGTAGCTGTTCAGTGTCTGATTTCCATGATGGTGATCATGTGGGGGTGGAGTACTTTCTGTTAAAAAGAATTACTGTTTTTATTTCCTTTTCCCTTTGGCAAAGGGCAAAATGTCATAGTCATCCTGTGAAATGGTTCCTCTGGCTTTTTAGGTTTGGGTTTAGTTTTCATCGGTTGAAATTTTGCTTGTTTGAACATCAGGTGTGTGTAGTAAACACTGTTTGCTGGTCTTCTCCATCCGGTTTATAGGAGTTAGGACACAATTGATATAGAGCCAGGGATTGGCAAATTTTTACTATAAAGGGCCAAACAGTAACTATTTTGGCTTTGCTGGTCATAAGGTCAGTTACTTAACTCAGCCATTGTGGCATGAAAACAGTCATACAGGATAGAAACATGCAAATGGATGTGTTCCACGGAAGCTGGATTGACGACCCTTGGTATAGAACAGTGGGTGTCAGTTGTGCCTGTATGTTGGCATCACTTGGGTCTCTCCGTTAGTTATTCTGGTTAATTGGTCTGGGACGTGGTCTGGTTGGTGGGTTTGTTATAAGGTATACAGGTGATTATAATGTGAGCCAAGGATGAGAACCATTCAAAGAGAGGAAAGAACCCAGATAGATTCAGGATTTGGAAATGAGCTCTTCTCCTTACCCACTATGTGACCATGATCAAATTAACTCTTATCCTCAATTTCCTCATCTTTAAAATGTACATAAAAACGCAACAGCGATCATGGTCATTTTAATCCCTCTTAAAGTTGGGAGGCTATTGAGGTTATTTAAAATCGGTTTTCCAGTACAGTGTAATTCCCACCAAATTCTATATAAAATGGTCTTGTAGTTTCAGCTTGACTTTCTGTTTGAATACTTACAATACTTTTATAAGCAGCCTATTCCAGTATAGGATAATTAACTATGATTATTGGGAAGTTATTTCATATTGAGCCAAAAATTGCTTTGCTTTAACTACTAAATTCTGTCATTTTGGGCAGTATAATCTGAGCCCAACCTCTAACCTCTAATCTGCCTGATAACTCTTCAGATATTAGCATTTAAAGAATTTCCCTGAAGTCGTCTGGGCTAAGTACTCTACCTCCCACCTTGTGGATTTTTCCAGTCATGGACATCACCTGGCTTGTTTCACCTGGAAGTTTTGGTGGACAGAATAGACTACATACACCTCTTAGGCAAGTTCTGACCAGTAGAGAACACAGTGGGTCTGTGTTTACCGAGGGTCAGGCCTTGCTCAAGGTCATTCAGCTAGGAGATAATAGAGGCAGGTCTCATGTTTTGTTAAGACTGTCTAGTACAGTGGTTCTCAACCTTCTGGCCCTTCAAATACAGTTCCTCATGTTGTGACCCAACCATGAAAGTATTTTCGTTGCTACTTCATCACTGTAATGTTGCTACTGTTATGAATCGTAATGTAAATATCTGATATGCAGGATGGTCTTAGGCGACCCCTGTGAAAGGGTCGTTCAGCTGCCAAAGGGGTCGCGACCCACAGGTTGAGAACCGCTGGTTTAGTACAAGCATGTCAAACTCAAAGGCTATCACGGGCCAAATAAGGTGTAAGTTTATGGGGGCCGCAAAAAAACAAAAGCTTCAATTTTCATAGAAATGTAGGTTTATTTCTATAGAGACATGCTGAATACAAAGAGCTGAAATAAACGAGTCATCATTAACATAAAATAATAGAACGTTTAAATAAAATATTTTTTCTTGAATATTAACTTACCAGACACTGAATAACTGCACAAATTAATAAGCGTAACGCAAATCTATTTTTCTTGTTCTCCAAAAGCGGAATACTTCCTGTTGCGCACACCAAACAAGTCTGTACAAGACTAATGACGTGGCAGTGTCTGCTAAAATATTCGCTGCTAGTATTAGTGGAGAGGAATGGTGCGCCTGCGTGTAGGGCAAGTGAGGGAAATGAATGCACCATGATTATAGTCATCAGTCATTAGCGAACATTGTAGCTCTATTAATAATTATTATAATAGGATATTGTTAAATTTAGTTGAAATTCTTATTAAAACGTATTTTACGTACCGTTATATTAGCTGGGCCACAAAAATACTTGTGGGCTGCATGTGGCCCCAGGGCCGTGAGTTTGACATGCTTGAGTTTCTAGACCAGTGGTTCTCAACCTGTGGGTTGCGACCCCTTTGGCGGTCGAACAACCCTTTCACAGGGGTCGCCTAAGACCATCCTGCATATCAGATATTTACATTATGATTCATAACAGTAGCAACATTACAGTTATGAAGTAGCAACAAAAATACTTTCATGGTTGGGTCACAACATGAGGAACTGTATTTAAAGGGCCAGAAGGTTGAGAACCACTGTAATCTAGACCCATTCTTTTTTAAAAACTAGTCCCTTTTAAAGCTTCAAACATTCTTACGAACCCCGCACATTGATTATACTTTGATTTCATTTCATTAAGTAAATAGAGGAAGTTTTCAGTGAAATAAATGCTTTTAAAATAATTTGAGGTTCTATACCTAAATGTCTGGAGAGTTGCGAACTCTTAGCTTTCTCTCCAAGCATTGCCTGGCACATTTGGGTTTCTTAAGCTTACAGTTTGTATAGCACAGCTCTAAAAATAATGTCTTTTTGCCGCATAATGTTGAAGCTGGTGTTTGGATGCCTCAAAGAAATGTTGTAAGATATTAAGAGAAGAAGACACACCCATAGACATCAGGAACTTGATTCAGAGGGTATTTTTAATCGGAGGCTAGCATGTCTGTTATGGGACTCACTACTCAAAGTTAGATCCGCTTTGAACTAACATAAAGACTAGTTCCACTGCCCAAAAAGTCCCACGCGCCACCCCTTCACCCCTCCCTCCCTGTCCTCAGACTTCCTGCAGCCATTGGCCTTTCACATCTCTCTGGCCTTTTCCAAAGTGCCTCATAGTCTAAGCAGCTTCTTTCAAAGGGGGACAGCCGTCCTGCAGGGTGGCAGGCTTCTGGCACTGGATTCTGGAAGGAATCTTCCGTGCGGTTTTGTCGAGTTGACACCAACCAGTATGACAGACAGCGTCCGCAGAAGCATTCTCTAGTGATGCAGCAGCAGACTATGTAATTGATTTCTATCTTTCATAGAAGCTGAGAGAATCCTATACTGATGACTAGATTTTCTTAATACTGTACGAGTACTCGGGAACAAGGTGGTCTTGGCCAAGGGATACAGTTCATCTAAAAGCTCCTTTCTCTCATCTGTATTTCTGATGGGAAAACGGCTGCACAACATTTGTGAATTGAGTTGAGTTGGGTTTAAGCTTTACATTTTCAGTTCTTATAATTGCCTTTTGTCTAAAAAACCTAATTTGAGTATTTATTAAACAATTTTGAGAAAATAATGCTCAAACTCAGTATTTTTAAGATACCCTAATATGGCACATACTTGAAATGAATTATTTCTTCTAATTAGAGTAAACTCTGTAATTAGTTACCAGCTGACCACCACTTCTGCCCTGTTGTGTTTTGGGTGGTAGTTGGTACTTGGCATTATTTTCATGTGCTGCAGAATCTAAAAATGCTTTCTAAGTGACCATATTTTTAAAGTTATTAAACATCTTTACACTTGAAAAATGACCATATGATTTGAGACTTCTAATATTTTGACCATGTCACATAGGTTTGCTGTGTGAACTATTTAAAATATGTTTAAAAGCCATGGAGCTTGGGCTTTGGACTCAGTTTTGCCACTTCACTAGCCCTGAGTTTATCCCACATAATGTCTCTAAGCAGTGGTTCTCAACCGTCTGGCCCTTCAAATACAGTTCCTCATGTTGTGACCCAACCATAAAATTATTTTCGTTGCTACTTCATAACTAATGTTGCCACTGTTATGAATCGTGATGTAAATATCTGATATGCAGGATGGTCTTAGGCGACCCCTGTGAAAGGGTTGTTTGACCCCCGAAGGGGTCGCG